GGGATGGGAGGACTGGTTTCAACCCTTCCTCACCCTGTGGAGTTTATCTTGAGTAAATTCACCATTTTCAAGTCAGAACTTTAATGGCAAGGCATTTGGCTGCTCAGGGAATCAGCCACACTTGCTGTCCCTATTGAAACTGTGACGATGTGGAGCAGGGAAGCAGGGCTAGAGGGATGGTGGTGTAGCCAGTGTCTGCAACCCACAGGGCCATGATCTCAGCCAGCAGACGTGCAGTGGGGGTTGCTGCCTCTGTTTCCACTATTTGTACTACAGTTGACCTAAAAACTTTGTTAGTTCGAATACAAAAGGTCTCTCAGAGCACGAGGAGCAATACCAAAGACCTTTCTTCCAGGTGGGTGCCTCACCTTTGCAGCTGCAGAGTCAGAAATGTACTTGTGGCTTTTTTACCTCTTGGAGATCTTGGAGATCTCTAACTCTTGGATCTACTCTTCATACTTCCCCTGAATGTCAGGGGACTTCTACCAACTCACTGGAAGTGACTTGAGTAGTGTAGCAGTGGTAGGGAACCAAGGATTTACACCCTTATGTGAATAGGCATCCACTTCTCTCTCCATGGGCTGTATTGTCTCCAATGCAGTAGGAGAAGCCCATGGTGGTACAGCTCTTCCCTGGCTAAAATAGGGTTGCCCTTCTGCTCTTTGTCTAGAAACTGGTAAAACTGCACTGAGGATGTGTTTGGTCCTGGCTGCATGTAGAGAGCGGTGTCCAGGGGGATGTTCCTTTGGCACCTCTTGGGATCAAGTGAATTGCATTCTCCATGGGCTCTGCTGTAAAAGGAACTGATATTCTTCAGAGTTAGCCACCCGCTCCTCAGACATCAAAGGTAAAACAAGTGAATCACATCTAATGTGGTTTGTTGCATTTTTAGCAGAAAGCCTGTGTCCCAGGTCCAAGTATAATCATGGTTTGTATTTTTTTTTCCATGAGAAAAGCACCATGTGTTTATAAATTGCTCTTTGCCAAATTACTTGTTCTTAAAAAGAATTACACCATAATAAGCTGCATCATTAAAAAGAAATTTTTCTGTGAGCAGCAGAGCCTGGTTTCCTGCAGTTTGGTGCCTCATGGTGGGATTATGTTGCGTCTAATGAGGAGCACTCTGGCTGAAGCCTTTTCTCCTGTTCACAAAGACACTGTCTCATGTGGGTTTGCTGGTGTCTATAATACATTTGGGATCAAACTGCCATTGTTTAGGTTCTCTCTTGTCTGCCAATGTAATACTGCACACGTGGCAAACTGTTCCTCCCTGGAGACGTGCAAGGGTCATACATCTCTACCCTGATGCCTCTTCCCATAAAAATGATTGAAAATTAAAGCATTTGAGATTTCTATCCCACAATTCAGTTTGACTAAAATTGGCCAACAGGCTAAAAGATAATTGAGAATAATATTGGACTGACACAACAATATAATAAACCTAATTTTATTAGGTAATCGGGCAATAAATGATGGAAAGTAAATACTGGAGGAGATTAAACATGAGAAAAAATGTTCATAAATATTTATTCAAGCATTTAAATACAGTCAAGGTGACCGTTTTATGCCCATTTTGCATTTCAATTTTAGTGTTTCAATTCACAGTCATATGAATCACCAACAAGGGCACAGACACCCCAATAGTTACATTCATACCTCAAAAGTAAGAGTAAAGTAATAGTTTCCTCTGAGACTTTTTTTTTTACAGTGACAGAGAATTATTAAATGTTTATTGAAAAATACTACAAATTTAGAGTTTAGAAACAGGAATGTTGAATAATTCAGAAATCAGATTTTGAAGATGGTTCTCACCTAGTCAGAGAATAAAGATAGATCATGTGGTTTGTCCTGGATTTCAGAATTTTCAGTAAACCTGAAATGAACAAAGTCAGACCAGAAATCCTTTGCTGAAGTGGTTCATGGAAAGGTTTTGAGAATGTTTCAGACATATGAGATGTGAAAGACAATTCACAATTATTTGTGCACATACACACAAAATCACAGATTAAGGAAAGAAGAAAGATACATTGAATAAATTGCTCATTGTAATTTATATTCCTAATTCCTAAGCCATAGAAATGTGTTCGTCATAAAGAGATTTTTTGAGGGTATTTCTATTTTCTTACCTTGGATGCAGTTTAGATGGATGAGCTACCGTTGGTCTCCATGCTTATCAGATTAGAAGAATGCATTTCTAAATTCAATTACATCCTCAGTGGAAGTGGTTTCTCTGACTCTGGTAATCTTTGGAGAAGAATTATACACAGTCTATAAAGCTTCACATTTCAAAACCTAATTTTGAATGTTATTCAAGAGGTTAATTTAAGATTCATCTTCCAAAAGGAGAGTTAAATAAAACTGATAGAAGGCTGGAACTTGTTGAGTGGCTGAGAGGTTTATCAGCATGTGAGTACGAGTTCATTAGTTTTAATTAGTATAATCACTAATGTTGCATTAACAGTTTGGTGAGAGAAAGTAATTGCTCACACCCACTGTATTAGATTGGGAGATTAGAATTCATTTTATGAGGCAATTAGCATTTCAGGGATTTTTTTTTTAAGGCTTTTATGATCTGCCATTGCAATACCCTCCTTCACCAAAAAGAGTTTAAATTAACCATAACTTTCATCCTAATGGGATGCAAAAATTAATGCAGAATTAAGTGTGAACCAGTAATCCCACTGCGATAAGCAGGCAGCTAATGCCACAAACCTTGATTAGTTTATAATGACCTGTTTTATTTCCCAGACAATGATAGTCATTTATCTGTCCTCAATTCATTATGTTCCTAGAAAGTTTATATTCTTGAATTTTACACAGCAAAACAAATAAAAAATGAGGAAGGGAAAAGTAGAACTGTACTATTGAAGTAATAATTCTCCAAAGAAAAAGGAAGTTTCAGTAATAGGGCTTAACTAGTCAATTATTCTTCACATCAAATGCCAGAGGAAGAAGAAACAGCTCCCTTTGTCATTAGCTGCTCAGGAATGTGATAGGCAGAGCAAGGTTGTGATTGCTGTTACTGTGAAATTCATGTTTCCTCCCAAGGCACTGGATGTCAAAGTGAGAATGGAGATTCAGGACTTGTCATCCTAGTTGGCAAGGGAGCCTTGGTCATCTGAGAGTTAGGACAATTCACCCAAGAAATTGCCTTCCAAAACATCCTGGAAAGCAAAACTGCTTAGAGCAAGGTTGTAATGAAAGGCACCATGATATCCATAAAGAGATGAGAAATACACCATTTGCAACAAATTTAGCACCCATTTTATGGGATTATGCTTGCCCCTGATTAAAACAAAAAATAACCAAAAAATAACCAAATAAATCCCAAATCTGCTATGTCTTGGGTGTGCTATGGACGAGAACAACTGTTAGATGTTAGAACTATGACGTAGTTCCTGAAATTTTGGGTACATATATTAAAATGAGTGGACGTGGGGCAGTATTCAGGGAATTACATGAATCTTCCAAAAACATATGTTTAAGCGAAATGTACATACATATGTATGTACTCTTATAAGAGATATTGGGGGGCCCCTGGTGGTCTAGTGGTTAGGATACAGCACTCTCACCGCTGCGACCCGGGTTCAATTCCCAGTCAGGGAAAAACTCCCCCGGGCAGATGGAGCTCGTCAGCCCTGTGAGGCAACCCATCTAAGAGAAGGTCACTCTAAACAAACCTACGTCCTGAGGACCTCACTGCCACTGTCCGAGCTTGCTCGGCCCCGGCAGATGAACCTCAGGATTAAAGGGTGGGCTCAGTTCAGCGCACGCTGTGTCTCACCTAAAAAATGAAGGGCTCGAAGGGTTAATGACCTTTCCCAAATCTTCGCTCGCGAAGACTGGCCATACATATAAGAGATATTAATGGATATATGAGACACGCTCTTAGAAGAGGGGTTCAAAGAAAAAAACTTATTAAACAGCCAAAAATTAGGTACAACTAGACAGACTGGATTTCAGTCTGTCTGGCATCAGCTGATGTCACCTTTAGAATGTGAATTACTCCACCTGAGGTCTGCATCCTCCGCTGTAAGGGCTGCCGCACCCTACAGACTGCAGAGGCAGTCCAAGGTGGCTTGGTTGGCTGAAGTAAATGCTGAAGTAAATGTTTAAAATTGGGTAGAATGAATCATGACCAGCATGCCTGTCATGATGCTTTAGGGTTTGTCTATGCACAGAGTTATTGTGGAAAGCCATTACTCTTCCTGAATAGCATTACTTGTGAATACACTTTTGGTTGAATAAGACATTTCTCTTCAACAACACCCACTTGACAGAGGCAGAGCAATTTGCTTTCTAGTCCTCATGTGGAAACCTTCTGCAAGAGCTACTGCCTTTTTAGTGAGCAGCCCTATCTTAATCCAAGTTTACTTTATTGCAAAAATGCCCTAAATTTGCCATCCATTCACCTTTGAGAGCAATTTAAGATTTATGGAGGTAAGTGCATCTATTAGGCACAAATATATTGACAAAAAAAAAAATAATGACGGTATCGTATACAATAAAAACTTGACTTTCATTTCACAAATTATGGATGTTATAAAGCTTATTGTTTCAGGAAAAATGCCTGTATTTGCATGTATGTTTCATTAAAGAGTAATAATGCCATACATATTTCATTTCCTTGTTCTGAGCAGCAAAAGCCTTAACTATATAAAATGCCCCATGCTGTTCTTGCTTTGTTGGTTTTTTTTCTTTTAATCAGATTTTTCCCCCTAAACTAATGAAATTGCTCTTTAAACACATACATCATTTTCATTTTAAGTGATTTACCATGACTCAAACAGTTTCTCTCTTCTGGAGAACGAGGCACTTTTTGTTGTGCACATCCAGGTCAGAATTGCCTCTGATATCCAGAGTGCTGAGTTCCCTGCAATCCCACTAGTGCTGTTTTAGGTGGAGTGTTAGGTGACTGATATCTGCAGGGTCTGCACCTTGGATATCTACACTGATTCTTGGTCCACCTGCTATCACATGTAATTTCTCTCTTCTTGTAGTATGCACCGACCCTCTGTGCAGCTGCGCAGACGTCCACGGAGCGAGGCATCCTTCCTCCCTGCCATCATCACGAAGCAGTGCATGACCCCGAGCTGGTTCCCTGCATGTGCCCGCTCTTTTCCTGCCCATGGGAAGGGCACTTGGAGGTGGTGGTGTCCCACCTGAGGCAGACCCATCACATCAACATCCTTCAGGGTGCAGAGATTGTCTTCCTGGCCACGGACATGCACCTGCCCGCACCCACAGACTGGATCATCATGCACTCTTGCCTTGGCCACCAGTTTTTGCTGGTACTCAGGAAGCAGGAGAAGTATGAAGGCCACCCGCAGTTCTTCGCCACAATGATGCTGATTGGCACACCGACCCAAGCTGACAACTTCACCTACCGGCTGGAGCTCAACAGGAACCAGAGGCGCCTTAAGTGGGAGGCGACCCCCAGGTCGGTACTGGAGTGTGTGGACTCTGTCATTTCCGACGGGGATTGCCTTGTGCTGAACACTTCCCTGGCTCAACTCTTTTCTGACAATGGAAGCCTAGCGATAGGAATTGCAATAACGACCAGCAAAGTTCACAACTCCGAAGCTGAAATGTGAGGGGGAAGAGGAGCAGGAAGAGAAACAGCAACAACAGTGGTGCTCTAGCTGCCTTGTGAGAGCCAGAACTTGCAGACTTTTCGGGGGGGTCTCAGGTCTTTTATGGTATTTAGTACTTGTCCACAGTGGGCATTATGTAAACATCCCGTGGTTACAGTCTCTGTGTAATGTATTTACCATTTTGTTAATACAATTTTATGATAAATTTTAAAGAGGCTAATCAATTTATTGTAGCCCTCCAGCAGCACTGAAAGCAACACATGTTAATGAAAAGTGCACCCAGGGTGACTCACAGAAACCTTTGCTCTGAGAATGCTATGCAAATATGTTTTCTTCATTGCCTGCCTAATTGACTGGAGGCCCCTGTGCCTGATGAAAGGTCAAGTATTTCACTAAGGGACAAGAGCACCCAGGTTTCCATATTAGCAAGAGTGATTTAACTCTTATACTGTGGTTACAACCAAGCCCTGCGGGAGCCTGCAGTTTCACAGCTTCCTTCAGCTTCTGAGGGAACAACTTCCTCATTCAAACACTGAAAGCTTCAGAAGAAGAAGTCACCACCTCTGCTGAGCAGGGGCCTGGAAACCCTCATCCTGCATTCAATTTAGGACAGCTAGTAGGTGGTCACAGTGAGCATGGTTAAATATCACTCTTGTATCATACAGGGCAATGAGAGGTTGCTAGATAGTCTGGCTACATGTGTGATATAACCATAACCAGCCATTGGGGCGTTCATCTTCTTAGCTGCTATTTCCTTAAGCATCCAAAAAACACTTTTCAGAAAATAAAGTATAAGGACGGTCCTAAGCTCAGCACTGATCTTGCTATGGAATTCTGTGCCCCTTAAACCCACAGTTGGTGCTGCTAAATATTGATTTAAAACAATATAGACATGAGATTTAAAATACATTCCTTTAAAAAAAAAACTCTTTTCTTCCTTCCATACATTTTGGGGGCAGGGAAAGAATGATGGCCCCCTTCTGCTGAGGGTGTTTTACAACAGCAATGATCATAAAAAGACACGGGCTTCTCTAAGAGCATCTTCCTTGGATGGCTCCTTGGGGAGAGTTGGAGGCAGGATCTGGCAACTCGGTTCCATCTGCAGTCAGCCCTGTTTCCTCCATAGCTAACAGCAACAGAGAAATCCCACTGCAGTAGGTGACATATTGAAGGAGGGGCCTCCACAGGGATTGTGACACATGAGAAGCATGGGAAACTGCCTTTTCCTGTTTTCCCTTCTGCCTGTGTGTGACTGTGGCCTGGCTGCTCCTGAATGCTTTGTCAAGAAACATCTGGTCGGTCGGGTCAGTTAGTAGCTAGAGAGACTGAGGCTCATAGCTTGAGTTCCTTGGAAAGCCAAGGAAGGGGGGAAGCAAGCTGAGAATAGTCCTTCAGTTCTTCAAAACACATCTCGCTGTAGTTAACTTCAGGTAGACAAGACTATTGATGCTGATCTCTCCTATCTGTTGCTCTCCTGAGAATTATTATAAATTATGCATGACGTGAAATGAATTGAAGTTTTCCTGAGATGAATACCATGCAGGCAATGTCTTCTGAGACATAGATGTACGTCACCTCCTTACCTGGACTTTCATAGCAGATCAGAGAGGAGCTAGGGTCTCTTCAACAGGCTGCTCATGACCATGCAAGCTGAGGTCCAAAGAAGTCTCAGTCCCTGTAAGAATACACTGGAGCACAGCTACATGTTTCTCCCACCTCTGAATTCAGAAGGCCAGGGAGGGACATACTGATTTGCAGTGCTTCACTGGAACACACAGCCTTCAGAACAGCTTGCTTTTTCCCTGCGATGTTAAATATTCAGAACCAGCAAATGCTGCCCTTGCCTTAACTGATAGCAATAAATAAATCATTGGTGCTTTTGTGGACTGAAACTGGCTTCTCCAGCTCCTCCAGTAAAAATAAAACAAAGCAAAAGCAATAAGACCCCAAGAAAAACAGTTCCTCTAGCTTAAACTTTCTGAGGTCTTTGTACACTGGGGTAGAGACCAAATGTAATAATGCTTTTGTTGCCTGATCACAAGTTCTAGGGGGATGTATATTTCTTTGTTATTTACTTTTTCCAGACTATTTACTTCTTGTTAGTTGGCACTTTTTGTATTTGAAATATCTACTTTGTGAACCCAACAAAGTAAACTCCTTGCTTGTCTTGGCTTTCTCCACATCTGCAAAGACCCAGCTCTGGCAGGGATTTCAGAAATCTAGATTGGAGTACTACACTAGAATACTGCACTACATTGGAGTACTGATGAAAATCTGTCCAGTGAGATTCCCAGGAAACAAAAGGAGGACACATTTCAGGAAGAAATGAGAGATGGGTGCTAAAACCAGCCTTTGTAAGCATCTCAACATGAAGTTCAAATGTTTAAGGATATATTTAAGGGCTTTCTACCACAGAAGGCATTCTAATTCTGTTGCAATTCAAAGCCTATGAATAACCTTATACTGTTATAAAGCAATGGTGAAGCAAATATTCTGCATGGTAGGACATAAATCCAAAATGCTGGAAATAGGATCAACAGTGAAGTTCAATTTGCACACACTCTTTCAGTGCCCATAATATAGCACTTTTTACAGCTCTCTGCTTATGGTTGAAAAGCAGCTTGATTCCTAAATTTGGCTGTAATCAAGGCTTCTAGAATTCATTTTGTACTCTAGTATTTTGCATCTTTATAATGTATTAAAACAAATCACTCTTAATTAATTCCTTCCTTCCTGTGAAGAACACAACCTTACATGTGTTTGAAGTAAGGAAGTACCCTTCATTTGGTGCAAGAGAAAATGAGGTTGCAAAAACACTATGCAGTTGTTGCAAAATTCTATTTTCCTACCTAGCTGATCTGAGAGTGGTGTTCCTTTTTTTTTTTTTTTTTTTTTTTTACATAGACAAGATATTGGGTTTGGGTTTGGTTTAGTTCATTGGGTTTTTTAAGCTTTTTCCACATCTCTGTTCATGGGTGGATTTTCTTTTGCTTGGTTTAATAAATTGCAACAATAATTTCATCAGGCTGAGCAGGATGGATTGCTATCAGATCCACTACAAAACCTACTTTGGTTCTTCTGCACTATCCATCAGACACTGTGTGAATGTTAATGTCAGATCTGCAGTAAAACACCATTAGTGCTTTCAGCTCAATCCTATTATGAATTAAGCTCACATCATATATCCATGACTCCTTATAAATCAGCTGAAGCATCCTCAGTCTCATCATCTTGAAGATGACAAAGGATCTTGCAGTGCCAGTGGCAGCTGTAGGGCTTGTTCAGAAGTAGGGCAGTAGTCCTCACTGGACTTGATATCACATCTTCTCCTTCATACCATCCTTTATGAATACAGGTCAGTAAACTACTGAAGAAAGGAGAGATGGTAAATCCTGGACAATAAAAGGGCTATAACAAAATGAGTCATTTACAATAACTTGCTGGATACTGCTGCATGACTCTCTTTTTTGTGCATCAGCAATTGACAGTACTGTAGTATAGGTGATTTATCTGTTTTTCTAGCCCAACACAGACCTGAAAAACACTCATAGGAGAAGAATCTGTCAGAATAGACTCAGATGTACTTCTTCTCCAATTGGATCAGAAACACCTTCTTATATGGAGGAGCTCCAGATTCTGAACTGTTCAGACACAAGCATAGGTTTTTAACCTCTTTTTTTTTTTTAATGCAATTAACTCTGCACGCTTATGCCATCAGAGTGCAGGGCAGAAAACAAAGATTGCCATGTGTCATCACGAGAACTGTTCACACAGAAAGATGATTCATCTTTCACAGAGATGGCCCTGCGGAAAACAAGGGGGTTTAACAGCAGGGTAGGACATGGCAGCACCTGCGGGCTCCAGAGGTGTTCACATAGAGCTGAGGGCAGAGCTCAGTCCCTGCACAGAAAAGTTGCCCAACAGAAAACACTTGCAGTGAGGTCACAGCATGGGCTGCCAGGAAAATAATCAGACCTCCTGAGTTAAGCTCTGTGCCTCTTCACACCAGCACCTTCCACCCAGGAAAAGGGCTTCTCATCTGCTGGGAGCCCTGTCTTTTGGAGCAGTGCAGATGAGCAGATCAGCTGGGTCTGCATGTAAATGGTCCTGCACAATGGCGCTGCATAGTGAGTGCAAACACCCAGTCCCATCCTGCCCAAGAGCTCCTTTGGTTTTGGTGGGTACCCAGCTACCTGCAGCTGCTAGTGATTCTTCCAGGTCCTGACACAGGACAGTGTTGCTGTCTTTCATGTGCATAGCTCTCACCAAGACAGGAAAGCATTTGTTGAAAATAATGCAAAAAATCCTTGGCAGAACATCACATTAAACCTATATCTCATACCCTTGGTTAGGACTACAAGCACTCATTGTTTCTCTCTCCACAAAGGCAAAAGACTAATGAAGAGCTTTTTTATCTCCCTTTGGGCTCTGCCACTCCAGAACATGCACGGGAAGGATTAGCAAGCAGTAATAATCTTCAAGAGAAGGATGAGAACTAACTTTCATTGCAAAGATGGCTCTTCTTGCAGTACTTTCACAAAAGGATGCCAGGCTCCAAGAAGGAGACTAACAAAGCTTATTGGTAGGAAAATGGGAAACACTGATTGCAAAACCTGCCATTCCTCAACTAGAATGAGCTTTATGTCTTCCAGATACTGAAAATCCTCCTGAGACATTCCTTATCTGAATACATCACTTAATCTTGTGGAAAGCTCCAGGACAGAGAGGTTCTTGCTGTTAGAAATTGTATCAAGTAACCTTATTGAAGATAAATGGCTTTGAACTTTCATAGCAACAGTGATGAACTGCTTCAATATCCTTGTAGTGCAGTCTGAAAAATCAGAGCTTTTAGACAAAGAAACAAACTTATTCAAATGCAAATGTGCGATCTAGGATAAAGTTTTCAGGTGATATTTAAAGCACTTTTCTTGTTGCTGAGACTGGATGTCTGCATAGCAAGAGATGTTTCACTGCCAGACAGGTCCTATTGGCTTGAATTCAAAAACACTCAGATAATCTTCATTTCTCTACTAAGGGAGACACTTTAAAAAGTAAAGCAAATAGTGTTATGTATGAAACAAGTCTGTAAAGGACCTTTTTTTTCAGGTCAGACTGCCTGACCAGCAGGGTGTGCAGAGAGCGCTACATCTCCTACCTGTTCAGGGTGAAGCCAGATTTGCAAAGGCAGACCATGCAGACATTTTCTTCATGTTGCAATCCCTGCTTCAACCATTGAAGATAACAGCTGTCAGGCAG